TATTCTAGACTCCAAATTATCATAAAAACTCAACATCCAGCTATAGTAAGTCCTATTCTTATATACGGACCTCTTGTATGGTGGACTTCAACTAAGAAGAATTTTGTTGTAGATCAGCTTTACAAAGTTCAGAAATCAGCATGCATTGGGATAAAAGGTGCTCTAAGAACTAGTCCTTCAGAAGCTCTGAACACTATACTGCACATCTTACCTATAACTCATCCGGAAGTTGGAGATCAAGAATATATGATTTAAAGCCTATTACCTCCAATTTTGAAGCAACCATTACACACGCACTTTGATAGAATTTTCAAAGTCAGAGTTCTTTCCAGTAGCGAATGGTGTAGAGGTAACCTACCCAGCGAATATACCACTAGATTCTTTACAGATGATTCTAAAATGAACTGCGGTGTTGGTTCTGTGAAGAAGTATATCTCACAGTCTTCCCAACAAGTGTAGTGTCTTTCAGATTGAAATATTTGCGCTAATGTCAGCCTGTAGGGTACTACGTGACCTCGATATTCGCGGCAACATAGGAATCTTTCTCAATAGTCAAGCGGCGCTTCTTTCACTAAACTCTTATACTACCACTTCCCTATTAGTTAGACAGTGCAAAAAGGATCCGTCAAGGGACTACTATGGTAATGAATAGGCTGATGAGCTTGCCGCGATCTGCTCTTGATATTTCTAACGCCGTTTCAGTAGCAACTCCGTTAGGTTTTATCAAGAGCAGTATCATCAGGTTTTTTCTTCAAAAGGCTGAAAATAGGTGGAATAACATAGACACATGTAAAGGGGCCAAATTATTGTGGCCCTCCTTCAATGAGAAACGCACAAGACACCTTATAAACCGAAGTAGGCGGGACATATCGAGACTGATAACAGTAATAACAGGACACTGGGTGATAGGCTGACATGCAAGTCGGCTTGGGCTCCCCTCAACGATCACTGTCGCAGTTGCAAAGACAGGGAAAAGGAAGAAACGGTCTTCCATCCTCCCTGTGAATGCCCTGCTCTAGACGTAAAGGGAAACCGCTTCCTTGGCAGTTACTTCATATCTAATACTATAAATACTACATCTGACGAGTGGAGTGGTCCGGTCAAAACGGTGTCTCTTCGACTCTACTTGACAGTTCGTATCTCAGAGAGAAAAAGAGATATATGTATTAACAAGTCGGAAAACATTTTTATGGTTAAAACTATAATAGGTTAGGTATGGTATATAGGAGGGTGTATCCGGAGAAATGCACCTAGGTCACTATCTGGTCTGTTAGTAAAAACAAAATCCTTATATGATATTCACTGAATAAACTATCGTCCGATATTCAGAAACTCACTTTCCAGGACGTAATTCCTAAGAATTTTTCAATCAGTGTTTGGGAGGGATCTCATTTCTATGAGAGCCTGACAATGGCAAAGAAAGTGTTTCAGAGTTTCGTTGTAATCTCTACAAGCTCTACATTCGTCTGAATCTAAACGGCCCGGATTCTTGTGTGTCCACTCAGAGTACAGACTAACCTCAGGCTTATTTCGCGGAGGCTGCTCTTTAGGGTCACCCCATAGGATTTTTGTGGTAAAACCACGGTTTCATTATTACAAGGGGCCTTATAGGATTCTCTCACTACAATAAGTTGTGACTTAATAATTTTGTGTTATTATAAAGGTGAAATGTAGCGAAAAATATATATTTTTTCATTTATAGTTGCTTCAAAGAATAACAGAGGTTAATAATATTGAAACTTTGATGATAGGTGCGCCATTTTGTTTGCAATTTCCCCAGAATATGAATACATTCTTCCTGGTCTCAAAATTTTTACCTTTACTGCACATTTTCATTATAAAATCGTAATATTCATGTATAATTTTTGTAAACTACAAATCTTAAAAGTGATTCTCTTTATAGTTCCAAATCATTTTTGTCCAATTTCAAATCCCTGCTTTGAATCTTAACGATTTAAGATCTCAATCAATGTTGCAAATTCTAAATAAGAAACTTTCACGAACATTTTTTTAAGAAAATTCAATTAATGAATAATTGATCTTTGAACTTATTGTGTGTATTCTTTATATACATACATATATAATAAACTAAAACTGAATAATTAGTAATAAAGGAGACTTCATATATTAATAAATATGTACTTTACTATAAATTTAATTCTAAAATCATACACATAGAGACACACATACATATGTATGTACAGCTCATGTTCGAGTACTTATGTACTACGTACATAGACATTGCCTATAGTCATCATTAGTCCAATATTAAATTGAATTTTGAACGACAACTCTTTTTTTAAGCAATTTATTTTATTGTTGTATGTATATCTGACTGTACATTGTGAACACATTTATCCATCCATCCACCCATTCATATGTTCATACATACATACATACATAGATTCATTCAATCATTCATTCATTTGACTTTTGTTTTTATTTATTCATTATTTTTATTTTTTTAATAAAATACAAAGTTACATACGAATAAGTACAGACCAAAAAAAAAAAAAAAAAAAACAACATACATATATGAACATACGAATGTTTAGATGTCTGTAAGAAATAATACTAGTAGTATAACAAAATATGTATGAACAAGTATGAATATATACATATGTATCTATAAAATACTTCTCATATAGAGATACATACATACATACGTACATATGTATGTCTAAACGAAATGAAACTGACCCTCTTAAATTATTTAATTGACACTAATTTAAAATGAGAGTAACGTAACCCAAATGTTGCCACCAATTTAACCCAACCCGCTTGGAATCGTATGTCTGTCTATATGTTTATATGTATGTATTATGATTGCAACGTTTTTTATTCCTATAGACAAATTAGGCATCTATTTACTCACCCGTTTAAATGTACATACATATTTACGTACATAGTATATTCATTACACATACGCACTTGTTTTTATATGTATTTTTATTCATCAATTTTCGTTTCTTAAAAATAAAGATCTTGGGTTTCTTCTTTTTTTCCTAAACTTGCACTTTATTTCAAAACTACGACTGTAGCCGCAATAAGTTCGCGCTTAAAGTGTATATCGGTTTGTCTCCTGTGAAAAAGTAAAAAATAGAAAATTAAATTAGTTATTTAAAAAACAAAACAATCTCAATTTTAAAACAAAAATCAATCGGTAATTAATTTAAAAAAAAATTTTAATAAAACGGAATATTTTACTAATTAAGACATTTGATTTGAAGTGAGGTGATGGCCGATTTAGTATTTGATCTCAATTAAATAATATTAACCCATGTCGCATCGGTTCTTAAGTTTGGATAAGTGTTAACAAGACGAAATGAAATATTTATTATTTAATTATTCAAAAGTTTTTCTATTATAAGTTTCCTTACAAAATATTGGATCAAATTAATATTAGAAATATACCCGGATTAAAATATTTTGTAAAACAAAATATATAATATGATTTATAATATTTACCCCCATTTTCACCACCTCCAGTTATCGTTTAACCAGTAGTTATTTTTGTATATATATATATATATATATATATATATATATCCCGTTCAAATATATATATATATATATATATATATATATATATATATATATATATATATATATATATATATATATATATTATATCTATCTATCCATCTTTCTATCAATCTGTCTGTCTATCTATCTATCTATCTATCTTTCTATCTATCTATCTATCTATCTATCTATCTATCTATCTATCTATCTATCTATCTATCTATCTATCTATCTATCTATCTATCTATATATCTATCTATCTATCTATCTATCTATCTATCTATCTATCTATCTATCTATCTATCTATCTATCTATCTATCTATCTATCTATCTATCTATCTCTCTCTCTATCTATCTATCTATCTATCTATCTATCTATCTATCTATCTATCTATCTATCTATCTAATTTACATCACATCAGAATATCCCGTTTTTAGCAATTTTTGAGACGTTTTCAACCGCGAAGGCATATTTGTTTCGCAAATCTGTTATGTCATCTTAAAGTTTAATCTATCGGCTATAAAATAACCGCTGTCATACTTATCTGCTTTCCTTTTCGAAATAACTTAACCTACAGTGTGAGACAATTAAAAATTTGTCATAATTTTTTCTAGCAAAATGTAGGGTTTGTCTTAAGCTTTAGTTTGAGATACCTAAAAGAAGAAAGAAAATCAACAGATTGCACTTAAGGATGATATAGCAGATTTTATAAATAAATATGTCAAATATGGCCAAAAACAGGGGATTTCTATATTTAGGACACTATATCACGATGTGGTGGCGAATTTCTGAGGCCATTCGGATTCAGTACAGTACCTTTAGAGAAATATACTTTGGTCTGTCCATTTAAACCATGAATATAGCCTTCTATTGAACAAAATAGATTTGAAGCTTATAATTATGTTAAATATGCTAGTATTTTTAAAAAAGTTTTATATTAACCTTAAAGATACTGACGATGTTTTGGTCCTAACCCCCAACCAATCTCCCGTTCAGATACTACACGATTAAATTCAGCATAAAAAACTATTATTTATAAGATAAAAGGATCGGTCCATATTTGACCATAGCCTTCATCTAAAGCTTTTTTCAGAAAGTGCAGCTCAAGACCTTAAATAAGTATATTCTGGTCTCTCAGTTAAAAATCTGTTGGACTGTGTAATTATAAACTGCATATTGGTTGTATTTTTTTTAATTGTTTGTAGATCCGAGGTCAAAGCCCTAATGTATATCTATATTTATAATAATTTAGATATAAAATATATTTAAACATTTTTGTTGTATTCCCATTCTTATAAACGAAGTTTATAATAATAAAAGTTATGAGTTATCTAAAAGCATGACCGTTATAAATTTTTTTGTCTGTCAATGATTTTATTTGAATTGAAAAACAAACATAAATTTAAAATGTAAACAATAATTTTTAAAATAAATTTTTTTCTAATATTTTTTTTTAATTTCTTATCGTTACAGTATGAGTGATACAACCTATGACAACAGCAGTAACGCAAACGATATGGAGGCCGAAGATGGGTAAGTGTAATTGATTAACTTTTTAGATAAGTCAAGTAAAACTTGTTTATAATGAATTACAAAAGAGATTTTGGCGCGTTATGAAAAGTGTCAATTTAACGTTAGGATAAAAAAATAACCAGACCTTAAGATAATGGGGATTAGTAGTTACTTAATTTTAGGATTCAGTCTTACAACTGTCACATCATCTCAATAATCACGCAATTTTATCCTGCCTGAACAAATTATGTTGAACATTGTCAGCTCAGAATTAAATAATATAAGTTTATTATTTGAGCAGCAACAGAGTTTGTGGATATTGCTCGTTCTTGGATAGGGTTTGTTGTATTAAATTGAAGAGTTTGTGATGTTATCCAAATTGTATCCAATGTTCCTTAAACATGTTCCGTTAGCGTTTACTATTCAGCGTTAATTGGATGATACTGTAGCAGAACAGTAACTGTTACATTGGTGAATCTTCATTTTTCTTGGTGTTATTGTAAACCCGGGGTAAAAAAGGTGCTCTAGTCTGCTTGGACTATGAATTGTAGTCATTCGGCCATTCCTTGTAATCATTTGACATGGGGTCGAAACACAAAACCTATCTTATCTTTTACCACAAAAACCGGTGACCCACAGAGCAGGGTTTCGGACATTGTCTTATGTTATCGAAATGCACAGGGAGGTTGTGATTAGAACCATAACGTGGGAAGAAAATGTTGATTTAAAGACTGATGCATGGTGAAAAAAAAGACAACATATACCACTCAGAGTAGAGACTGTGGTGCTAAATTTTCGGATTGAGTCGATGTCAAATGAATGAAATACTCGTATTAATGTATCGAACATTTTCTATTGAGTATGTCTGATGAATGTGACGTGTGTTGGGTGTAATATTCAGATGTCATCATTCTTTGTCAGAGTATGTTAAGGAATTGCTATGTTCCTACCTGATTTACCACAGTCTTATCATTTCATTTACGTGGTTGTAAACAGAAGTGATGCTTTGAGTCATCTTTAGATCACCCTGTGGTTGTAGTAATACAACCGTGAAATCAAGCCGTTTGGCAGGTGTTCACATTACGCCCTAAACTTCAGTGACGAATTAACTCATCTTCAAGTACTTTTACATTAGCAGGTATATGAGTTCTCTGCATACTTCCTTTACAAGACGGGCTTAGGGTAGTAATATTTATATACTTGTTCTGAAATGTATGATGAAAATGCGATTCTTGTTTTTTGTGTGGATTCGTTAAACTAGTTCGATAAACAGCTGAAATGGTGGTTAACCTGTGGTAGAATGCGGTGCTCTCCGATACTGGGATAGAAATATGTTCAAATTTTGCCGAAGATGCTCAAAGGCATCTTTTTCCATTGTTTGGAAACATTTGTCGGCTTGTCCGTAAGAATTTGGGTGATATGGGACATCAAACTTGTGATATACTATTTCTATTGATTTAATAAAGAGTTTGAACTCTTGTGATACAAAGTGATCACAGCAAAAAGAACTCCATTAGCAGAGAAAACTTTATCTAAAATATCTATTGACTCCCTTAATGTCATTAAATGTGTAATTTTAACATCCAGTTATTTACTATAAGTATCTAAAATCACAAGTAGCAACTTACCCAAGGCCTTCCAGGGGCTTTTCGGATATTTCCAATGGCGTTCTATGAACTTTGATGGATTGTAGGAATGTTTGGCATAATCCCAACATTCTCTAACGACATTTTCTAAACTTGCTAATATATAAACGATCTGGACAATCTTTTCTTTCCTTCTTCACCATTCAAAAGTGGACTTTATGTAAATGTGTAATTTTAACATCCAGTTATTTACTATAAGCATCTAAAATCGCAAGTAGCAAATTACCCAAGGCCTTCCAGGGGCATTTTTGGATATTTCCAATGGCGTTCTATGAACTTTGATGGATTGTAGGAATATTTGGCATAATCCAAACATTCTCTAACGACATTTTCTACACTTGCTAATATATAAACAATCAGGACAATTTTCTTTTCTTTTTACCATTCAAAAGTGGGCTTTATGTAGATCTTTAAACTTCCGAAGTGAGTTTGGAATAACAATTCGATGCTCAACTTTAAGCAATTTGCACTTTATACCCAGTAAGAGTTAGGGCTTGGATTGATGTTCATCTTTTCGAGTGTCCTTAGCTATAAGTCCTTATTATTGGCAACTGATTTATTTCATACAGCTCTATTCTAGAGCATTAAATACTATTTCTAAAACCTCAGTTTTGTTCGGATATACGCCTAACACATACTCCATCAAATCTGGAAATATTGGCAGAGGAATTTGAATAAAAATGTCATTATTTTAATAAAGTCCTCGGAATGCAACAGAAAAACACCGTACTGTACAAATTTGAAACTAAGAATAAAGTTATCAGACACAACAAAATTAAATGATGTTTAAATTTGTCGGTCATTTAGATAAGTTAATGTGTTTTGTTTTAAATATCTGTAGTTTGATTATTTCTAAATGTTCTTTTTGGTGACATTTATGACCCAATATTTCTTCTCTCTTTCACGCTCACTCACACGTTTACATTCACCTCACTCAGTTACTCTCACACACAAAAAAAATATCGGACAGATAACAGTATGATGCATTAACAATGACTGGGATTATGTTTTGTACAATATTTAAACATTCCCTGCGCTTGCTCACCAATCGTAACCAATACTCTTCCATCAACTCAACCGAATATTTGAAATGTCTATGGGCTAGGCCTGTACTAAACTGACTAATCAATGGGTTTCATTTAAAAATCAAATAAAAAAAATTACATAAAACTCCAAAGTATTTTAAAAGAACTACATAGATGTAAATAATAATGACACTTCCTTCTGATAAAGAGGTTATCGCAAATAATAAGACAAAATTCTTTTCAAAGGGTTGCTACACAGAAGAAAAAATATTATTTTGGGGAATACAGTCGCTTTCATTCATCAAGAATCAACACAACGTTTTGTCACACAGCAATTTAAGCGCATCTTGAAAAAAGGAATAAATAAAAAAGAATAATTTTATAGATTTAGTCTATTCTAGTCTAGGTTTATTTCATCAACTTAAAAAAGTACGTATGTGATCTATAAGTCTGTTTATTTTATAATTTTGCGCGGGGATTTATTGATGTAATTTAACAATTTGCTAAATTTTTAGTTTGTTATTAAGAAGTTAAAAATTCAAGCTGGGTGAATAGCTATAGAGAAGTCATTACAACATCCAGGGGATTATGTGAAGATTTTTTATTTTTTGTACTCATTCTTATTAGAATGACAATCTTCCAATAAATAATCTTTTTGCTAAGAAAATTCCCTTTTAGATCTGTGTTATTTAGTTTTATTTATAACAGTTTTTTTGTACTAATGTCAAAATATATATTTTATCATATTCTTTCAGATTTGCTTCATCAATGCTTACTTTTGCAGCCATTATGACTCTGCTGATCATGGTTGTGGGAATTTTTGGTAATTTTCTCACCGTTGCAGCTTTAATTAAATGTCCGAAAGTCCGTAATGTAGCAGCAGCATTTATAATGAGGTAAGTCTATGACTCAAGTAAGATGGTTAGGTTAGGTTGATAGGAGGATGTATACTACATCAAAACCGAAGAAATACACCTAGGCCACTATAGGGCCTGTTGTGCGCTCCTTATCATGAACAAAAATTCACTGAATGAATTATTTTTCAGTGTTCAGAAACTCAGTTTCCTGAACGTAATTCTTAAGAATCTTCCAATCAGTGTTAGTCAGGAATGTTATTTCCGGTATAACATCACTTGGATCTAACTTCGGCGAATGCCTGGCAGTGGCAAAGAAAGTGCTCCAGAGTTTCACTGTCATCTCCACATGCTCTACATTCGTCTGATCCGCACGTCCAATTTTGCATAGATGTGCTCGTAATCCTGGGATTCTCTCACCCATATTTTCGCCCTTTCGTTGCCGACTACTCCCAAATGGGCTGGTACCCATTGATTACGTGTCCTAAACCCGCTTTTGGCCAGTTCGCCTAAAGTAAAGAGCCGTTCGGCTGTAATCGTCGCCTCATATCTAAAATATGTTTCAATGGGTGGAATATCCAGCAACGTTTCCAAGTAGTACACATAGCACCATTTATACCCAAGCAGCATTTGCGCAGAACTCCCTGTAGTAGTTTGATATTGCACTTTTTGTCTAAAACAGTCCATCATATTATTGAAGCATAAGCTAGAATTGGTCTAATTACACTTTTATAAAGCCAATTTGTCATAGTAGGACTACGACCCCATTTCATGCCTATAGTTCTCCTACATATCGCCCAGTACCGATGTGCCTTGTTGATCCTATCCTCTCACCACAGGGTGGCATTTTGTCACCTTTACTCTGGGTTATCACGATTAATAGGCTCCTAAGGACCCTAACCGCGAAAGGACTTAGACCTGTCTGCTATGCAGACGATGTCGTAATTCTTTTAAAGGGAAAGGATCCAAATTACTTGTGTAGAAGAGCTGAGGAGGCTCTGAATACGGCCTTGAGCTGGGCTCAACCGAGATGCCTCAATGTTAACCCGGCGAAGACAGAAATCTGTCTTTTCACAAGAAGGACAAAAATAAAAAAAAATATACTGAACCTTGCTTCCTTGGCAAGAAGATACCAGTGACAGACAAAGTTAAGTACTTAGGTGTAATCCTCGAGACACTCAAGTAAGATAATACAGTGCAAAATTTATTCTAGCTAACCGGATTTATAAGTCAATTCTATTAAATATGTTTACATTTCGGTAAAGAAGCCATTAATTTAAAGACTAGACTATAGCCTAGAATATAGACTAGACTATAGACTAGAATATAGACTAGACTATAGACTAGACTATAGACTAGACTATAGACTAGACTATAGACTAGACTATAGACTAGACTATAGACTAGACTATAGACTAGACTATAGACTAGACTATAGACTAGACTATAGACTAGACTATAGACTAGACTATAGACTAGACTATAGACTAGACTATAGACTAGACTATAGACTAGACTATAGACTAGACTATAGACTAGACTATAGACTAGACTATAGACTAGACTATAGACTAGACTATAGACTAGACTATAGACTAGACTATAGACTAGACTATAGACTAGACTATAGACTAGACTATAGACTAGACTATAGACTAGACTATAGACTAGACTATAGACTAGACTATAGACTAGACTATAGACTAGACTATAGACTAGACTAGACTAGACTATAGACTAGACTATAGACTAGACTATAGACTAGACTATAGACTAGACTATAGACTAGACTATAAACTAGACTATAGACTAGACTATAGATTAGACTATAGACCTTTCGGCCTTTTTAGCGGTAGTACTTTTACAATCACAGGGTTAGCAGTTAGACGACTCATTATCGGCAACAGCACCGCAGTTGTTCTAATCTAGATTTCACCGTGTATAAATTTTTTAATCAACATTATCTTCACGCGATATTGGGTTTAAACCACAGTCAGCACGTTCATTCTGAAGGGACCTCTCTCTGAATTGCAGGCTACCAGTTCCCTTGTTATAAGATATGTTAGCTTCTGCGGTTCGACCCCAGGTCAAATTATTCTAAGGAAAGGCCGACAATACTTTTGACAGTTTATAGTCCCGGTAGTGTAGAGGTACTTAGAGAACCAGTTTCCCCCTGATTGCAATCACATCAAAATGGCGAAAGTTCATTAAGGTAACATTCCCCGGGGGAAGAAGTTGCATACAGTACATTATGAGCAAACTCCTGAGACTACAGAGTCTTTTCGTTCCAATAACAATTGGATCTTTGGTCAGGAATGATCGCAGCAAGGAAAAAACTATTGGCCATGGTCGAAACAACAGAGTACTATATTTTAAAGGCTAATTTCTAGATGATCATGAAAATGTTGCTGGTTGTAAATTGAGCAACATACTGGATTTTTTTAGGGGATTAAATTCGCTCTTTAAAAAAATTCTAAGGTGAATTCAAATCTGTAACCACATTCATCGTCTTCACATACTTAGGTTTTTGGATTTGTGTTTCTCTTTTTATTATTGCTAAACCACCTTCTTTGATTTCGTATTTCTTCTATATGTCTCCTTACTTCGTTAGGGTTATATTTTCTAATTCTGGCTCCTGAAGGGAATCAGAATTGACCTCAAGTTTTCGATAATACTAAAATATTTATTCTTTTTTTAATTTTAGCTTATGTATAGCAGATCTATTATTCTGCGCTTTAGTTTTGCCATTTAATGCCTATCGCTTCATTGAAGGGACCTGGGAACCTCGAGATGTTCTCTGCAAGATGATACCATTTATACAATATGGAAATATTGGTGTTTCCCTTCTATGTATTGCTATGATCACCATTAACAGGTTAGTATTTCAAAGGAATGACAAGAGTCCATAGAGATACTTAGGAATTTTTAAACTTTTAATACTTTTTCCCCCCACTATTATTACAGATATGTCATGATTGCCCATCATAGTTCATATGGAAAAATCTACAAAAGACATTGGATTGCAGCCATGATAATATTCTGTTGGGTGTTTTCATATGGCATGCAACTGCCAACACTAGTCGGTGCCTGGGGCACTTTCGGTTATGATAAAAAACTAGGAACTTGTTCTATATTAGAAGATGACCATGGCCATAGCAGCAAGACCACATTGTTTGTGACAGCCTTTGTAATACCGTGCATAATAATTATAGCATGTTATACGAAAATTTTCTGGGTGGTACACAAGTCGGAGCAGCGTTTAAAGCGGCATGCCAATAAACAAAATTCCATACCAAATAATTTGAGAACAACGCCCGTTGCTACGGGCAGCAATATTGAAACGGGTAATGGTCAAAGCAGAGTATCTTCCGCCGACAGTAGTAGTTTTTCAACAGACGTTAAACACGAATCGGTGCAAAAACAAACGACTCGCGTCAAGGATCAAAGGGAGGTGAGAGCGAAACGAAATGAATGGCGCATTACTAAGATGGTGCTGGCAATATTTTTGAGCTTTGTCATTTGTTATTTGCCCATTACTATTGCCAAGGTGGCCGATCAAGATGTTGAGCATCCCAATTTTCATATACTCAGTTACATTATGTTGTATCTGTCGGCCTGCATCAATCCTATTATTTATGTCATCATGAATAAGCAGTATCGTAAAGCCTACAAAACAGTAATTATGTGTCAGCCGGGACGTTTATTGCCATTTGGCAAACATGCTGGTGGTGGTGGCAACAATGGCAGTAGTGTGGCAGGTATGTGATTGTATTGTTTATTTGACGAGTGGTGAGGGGGCAAAAAACTAAGTCACTCTCATTTGTTTTAGAGAAATGGAAAGATACCGGATTGAACCGCATGTCGCACAGTCGCACAATGGTTTCGGCAGTGGACCAACAAAATACCAGCTTCAGCAGTTCCGTCCAATTGCCAGCTATGGAACTGAGCAGCAAACCGAACGAAACAAAAGCCAAAGATACGATAGAATCAATACCGGTGACGTTGCAGGCAGCAGAGTCCACACCGATTCCGACATCTATGGAGAACGCGAGCAAACCAGAAACTCAGAACACCGAAGAACTGGTGGTGGCGCCATCGACAAACGAACAAATGCCCATAGCCACTCCTGCCCAGAGTCACAGCAAGAATACCAATATCACCAACAACAACAACAACCAAAGCGAACAAGTCAACCTTCCAACGAATATCATAACGCCAAGGACCATCAAACGCATAGCCCTGGTGGGCGGAGATATAATTTTGGAGGAAGAGGAGGAAGAAGAGGAGGAGGAAACGCAGGCAGCGAGACAGATGACAGTCAATCAGCCGGCCGAAGAGGAGAAAAAAGAACAGACGATAATGCCAATATCAACGCCACCTCCACCGTCCACTGTGAGCCAACGGCCGACGCCAGTGTACGTGAATGCGAGTGTATTGCACCAGAAGAAAAACCCATCTTACGGTCAGAACATCAACGTCATTCCAGATAATAAAAATTCCACAAAACTTTTAACCAAACCGAAACTTTAAAAGACTACTTTACAATGCTTTAATTACATAAATAATTACGAGTAAATATCTAATTGGTTAATCAAACATTCCATTTACAATTAGACCGATCGATGTTTATAAGAATTATCGATTTTTATACTCTCGTGCTGATTTTAAGTCAATATTAAAATTTAAAAAAAATATTAAACATTCCAAGCAATTACAAATTTTGTTTAAGATATACATACATAAATAAATATACATAGTATAAATAATAATTAATTAGTTCCATAATCTTATTTTATCTACACATAAGTTTTGTATTTATTTATTATACCTTTACAATTATATTTATGTATTAAATTTTATATTATTATTAAGGTTTTAATCGAATCGTGCCTATATTTATATAACAGCAATACAATACCATATAATTATTTACTAAATACTTTTAAATTTTTTATCTTATCTAAAATAAAAATGGAGTAGAAACTCAGTTTTTAATGAAAAAATACAAAAAAAAAGTATTACTTATCGTTTGAAATCTTGTTACAGTAACTACAGCTGAAAGCTTTTGTGGCGTTTGTCACAAATTTTGAATATATAGTATTTTCTGGTAACGGATCAGGTTCCTAAGTAATTGATCGATATTTCTAATATCGATTTTTAGTGATATTAGTATACGTATTATTGGTTTAATTGTACTTTTTTCGATCTCTAAAAGTAAAATGGTGCATCCATGAGACATTTGCGCAATATATTTCTTACTGAAATTACAATTCAAAATTACACTTTCAACACAAAGTTGTAGGAATCAGTTACTCTTTACGGGGGGACCAAATGGGCATGTGGTTCTATACTGAAGAATCGTCTACCTAATCACAATATTAGCTTCAAAACGGAAATTCAAGCAATTACGAAATGCGTAAATTAGATTAGAATACATATGGCGCCAACAGGGATTAACATATTTACCGACAGATTAAGAAGGCTGGGTACCAGGCTACTCAGAAATAATCGGCAAATAAAGAGCAAATGTTCTTGCTTTAAAGGGGAGGTAACACGAGATAGTTAACCTGTCGAACGCAAAACCGTTCAACGAACGAGGGCTGAATTAAAAATATGGTCGAGAGAATCCTATAAGGACCCTTGGAATAATAAAATGTTTGGTAGAACCACAAGAATACGGGACCATAAACTGGTGATGTCAATTCACTCCTCGGACTTTCTTTTAATGATTTGACATGGCGTCGAACCAGAGAACCACATAATCTGGTACTATGGGTGACCAGTTGCCCGCAGGACATGTCCTGGTTGGCCAGTTAAGGTTCCTTCGGCATGTACGTTGTGGCTGCGGTTTAAACCCAAATTCGCGGGAAGATAAGTGGCGGGTAAAATGGTGATATCTATAATGCGAGGTAAGTGACAACAGATACCCCACAGAGGAGTGACTGTGGGACTAAGCGTTGGAAATGAGTTGGTATTAAATGTATATGATATAGGATGAATATGATCTCATCCGCCCGTATACCTAGACTGTGTTTGTCGTATGTTGTTCTCTTATGAGTTTGTCGGATGAATGATAAGAGTTCAGTGTTGAATGGTGATGGATGAAAGGTATCTCCAGTTATGTTCAGTTAAAACTCTGTTCATTCCAGATTTAACAAAGTGTGTCCTCTGTAAGTAAGAACAAAGTCTTCGGCTTATTTGATGGATTCGTGCTGTTACCGACTCAACAGAGACCATCCCATCTGCGTGGTTGTAAACGGAAGTGATGTTTTTTTCAGCAATGGTCAGAGATTATATATCTCAAGTACTTGGGCAAGGTGCAGTAGAGTTTCATATAGTCGGCCATGAATTTGGCATAAATCTTCTAAAAATGAATTAAGTTTTGTACTAAACTCAGCCGGAATTCCTTTATTTTTCCATATTTTTTGTATATACATATAAAATAACTTCTATAAATTCGCATATCTAGCAGCTAATCTATTAGCAACACTTCCTTCCATTTATTTTGCTAAAATTACTGAAAATTTAGTAATTTTTAAATTATCAGTTTTCATTCAAATTATAGTTACAATTACTCAACTTATTATTATCTGGCAACATTTATTTCTTTGTATGTATTTCAACCAGCTGATTATGACACAACCACTTAAATTTGCAGAATGAAATTTGCACTAAGTAGAAGAAAATACAACTTTGTTGTTACTTCAGAATTCCCCCGCACTTTTTGAATCCACCTTGTTAACAGACCTAAAAATATCAACAAATTTTGTTCTCTTTATTAATAGTCCAGTCAAGTTGAAGTTGTACTGAGTAATTTAAATAACTAACAGAAATCTGATGCACAGTTTTGACATCAATAATAGTGTGTATACGGGGGATATTGGGGTCAAAAGTCTCAAAAATCAGGCTTTACTTATATATTTGTTAAGATCTTAGAACAATTTGTTATTTTTTTCTACATCTAGGTCCATTATTTCAAACTGCGGTTATCGTTTATCTGTTACGTATTTTACCCTGACAAAAAGGTATACTTTTATAAAGGATTGAGCAGTGCTGAATCTTAAACTGACCTGATCATATCAGGTTTTAGAGATATAATTAACTAAAATTGGAAAACCCCCGTTTTTTGTTATATGTATTGAAACGTTACAATATCTCGAAGACACATTTATTTATAAAGTTTGTTAAGACATGTGAAAGTTCAATCTGTCTGAAAACTTAAACGGACAATTTTTCAGCATATATGAGGCTACCATATGATAACTTACACTAGTTATGAGTATAAAATGGTGGACTAGGGGCAATTTTTCAAGATATCTTAACCTAAAGTTTAAAACTCTAAATTAACTAAGTTAACTCTCTAAATTACAAAAAAAAACAATATTGTTTTTATTTTACGCAAAAACTTTAACGGACGATATCTCAGCATATATGAGGCCACCACATGATAACTTACACCAGTTATGAGTGTAAAATGATGGGCTAGAGGCAATTATGAACTGATCTACATAAAATTCTCTGATGGATTAACGTTTACAAAAACTTGATTTATGCGATACTGGACGTTTTAAGTGAATTGTAGAAGATTAAAGTCATTTTAAGAAGGGGTCTAATAGGGGGGCTAGGGTCAATTTAAACAAATATGAGCTTAAAATCCCTATACGGGTGGTGCTAGATGAAATAGTTATAATGTACCAAAAGTGCATTCAATTATTTTCAAAATTGCACCTGTATAAATAGATTGAGAAGGCGATTCGATTGGAATACTTTAAGGTTGGTATAGGATCAATATTTTTGTAAATTACTAAAGTGTTGCAGGTTATAACTATGACAATTTGTGGATTGGTTTTTAACAGCTTATATGAAATGTCAAGCCAACTAAAATTCCGCAGTTTGATTATTTTACTTCAAATTTGACTGGACTACATCTGGAAATTTATCGTTTTGAATGAATACATACATATGTAAGTATATATGTATGTATGTATGTACGAATTCTGTTATACACAATATTTTTTCGTATAAATAAGTTTATTCAGCATAATAATCAATTGAGAACGAAATTTTGTATACAAACCAAACAAAGGAGTTAAACCTAATAATATAATTTTACTTAAATGGGCGAGTTTTGCAAAAAAAATTTTGATTTTTAATTTACTGCTTTTAATAAAAAATACTAAATTTTTAGGAAATTGAAACAAAAAATGGATGAGGTGTTTCCAAGTAGGCCAAATGCGCAGTTGGATAAAGCCGATAGCCTTATTAAAACTTACGTACAATTGCTGGAAAGAAAACTAAAAAATAGTATTTTATGGGAGAATTTCAGTAATGAAAACGAAACCAAATGTCTTGATTTACAAGAAGAATTATTTTCATTGAAATTACAACTGCAGGAAAATAAACAACATGATGATCTTCACAAAAAACAAATGGAAAAAGTGCATGACGAAAATCTTAAACTAAAGTCTGAAAATGAACAACTGAAATTGGACATAATTAAACTGCAGCAGGAAATTGGAAAACTTCAAAATAATAATTGCAATCAAAACAATAGAACTGAAAGAACAATTTCAATCGACAATACTGAGAATTCAGATGCCAATAGTGTCTTAGTTAAAGGTTTCACTGAACTGCAATTGAGTACAATACCCAAAATAAATATTATTAATCTGGGACATCATATGAAAATACAAATATCCGACAAGGATATTATTAAAGTAAAGAACAAGGAAAGCAAATATAATGAACGACTCAAGCTTAAGCCCGACAAAATTCAATTGATTGTAGAATTTCGAACTTCAGAACTGAAAGTAGAATTTCTTAAAAATAAGGATAAATTGAAACAGCTGTCAGATTTGGCCGATATTGAAATAATTGATTATGTCAGCGATGAAGTGTTTAATTTGTATCAATATGCGAAGATTTTAAAAGATCACGGCTTTGCCTCAATCTATTGGAGAAACAATTGTGTGTATGCTAAGAAAACCCGATCTAGTTTATGTGATCCAATATTAATTAAGTCAAAAAACGATGTAGACAATTTGAAAGATGTCAAGGAATAACTCTCTATTATAATTTAGAATTGTATTTAGAACGGAAAGATTTATTTTTGAACACAAATACAAATATATATTTTTTTTACATATGTACATTGCTCATATGTTTATAAAAATACATACTGGTGTTTCCTTTTTAATACATACATACATACATATAGCTCAGGCTTGTCAAAATTGGTCTTCTACAGACAATTGTCTAGCAATCACAATTATTTAAAGTACAAAGATCGCTCGAATAAGTTATTAAAAACATTTCTGTAATACAAAAGCAAGAATAAAATTATGAAAACCTCGGCAATTTTGGAACAAAAGCATTTCGCGGAAAATCTAAAATTATTCACAAAAATGTTTTTAAGAATTTGTAATTGTTTTAATAGTAAATTCTCTTTATGTCGAATTTCATTGCTATAGTGTTATTTTAAGCTAAATGGGATCTTTTATGGGTGATGGGATCAACTACATTTAGAATAATTTCAGACATTATATACTCTAATTTTGTTTAATGGTGGCTATGCAATTGTCCTTTGCGAGAGCTATCTGTCACACCTAACGAACTCTCATTTCCCACCTGGTATATCGTGTACTATGAATGAACCGACATTGGGTGAAGGGAGACTAACATAGAGATTGTTATAAAAACTGGCATGGTCAACGATCATATTTTTCCGGCACTTTAAACCTTCCTACTTAAATCCTTTGAAGGGATAGTTGATAGTATACACTGGCGGTATGCATTGATATCGAAGACGCCTTCCATAACGTGCACACTGATACTCTTATTCAATGCTTAGACCAGGTTCATGTTGACCCGGCACTGCGTAACTGGATTAACTACATGCTAAGGAGTAGATGGATAAGCTACGATATGTACGAAATGACTATCAGGAAAAAGGGTATTACTCGATACACTCTGGGTAACTACGACTAATAGCTTTCTAAGGACCGTAACTGAGAAAGAACTTAGACCTGTCTGCAATACAGGCGATGTCGTAATACTTCTAAGGGTAAAGGATCCCAATTACTTGTGTAATAGGGCTGAAGAGGCTCTAAATATAGCCTTGAGGTGGACTCAATCGAGACACAAACATCGGACTTGCCTGATTACACAACAAAAACAGAATATATCGGTAGCTTTGAAACACTGAGCCCAGATAGTATATCATGATCAAGCGGAACATTAGAGGAAATACCCGTATGACTCCGTTACTACACAGATGGCTCTATACTGGGGGACAAAGAGGTCCTGGAATTCTATATTGAAGATCCAAAAACAGAAATATACTACCGTCTACCTAGTCACAACACTAGCTTCCAGGATTATAATAAATATGGTTCCGACAGAGGTTAACATATTTACAGATCGCCAGAAAGCAATTAGGTCAATATCCGATGAAATGGTTAAATTTAAGACCGGAATGGATTGTAAGAAAGTTTTAACCGAATACTCTGCCAGAGGATAGGTTTTCAGCATATGGGTAACAGGCCACTCGGGAGTGGTTGGCAACGAAAGAGCGATTGTACTAGCTTTAAAGGGAAGGGAGATAGTTAACATAACGGACGCAAAACTCTTTGGCGCAACTAGGGCAGAATTAAAAATTCTAGAATAATCAAACTTTGACTAGAACCAAAATTATTGAGCTTGTGGATTCACATTATTAGACTATCCGGGTAGACATCCCTCACTAAAACTGATTGCAAAATTCTTAGGAATTACTTCTAGGAAACTGAGTTTCTAAACATCAGACGATAATACATTCACAACACTACATAAGGTTATAGTTTTTTTTTACTACCAATAAAAATTTTTCATGAAAAGGAGCGCACAACAGGTCCGACAGTGGCCTGGATGTATTTCTTCGGATTTGAAGTATTATCAACCTATTCTATTCTATATATACATAAAATATCACAGCAGTTCAAAACAATGCATCATAAATTGTAATTGTTCTTATCTTTAGAAATGGAAAGAAAATAATATTTATTTAAGTATATTTAAAAAAAAAAAAAAAAAAAGTTGCAAAAAATATTCAGCAAGAAAGAAGAACTGCACAGTAGTACAACGAATGTAAATTAATGATTTATTTGACAATGTTGATTGAATTCTAGATCTGTACATACATATGTATGTATATCCATATTTCATACGATCATCCAAATATTATATTAAGAAATTAACTATTGGATTTTGACATTTTATAATATTATCAAATTTCAAAATTACTACTAACCCACAAAATTTTGAAACATAAAAATCGATTAATAATTCCGGTAAACCTTTTTACAGTCAAGGATGTAGCACTAGAGTGAAATCTCAATTTTATTGAAGTTCTGTCTATCGTTTCCACTGTACATTGCGTTGTTTGGTAAAACAAACATATGTATGTATTTGTATTCAGTAAATAAGATCTATTATTTGTAAAAATAATATAAATATTATTAGTGTAACCAAAAAAAATATAAAAAAAAAATTATTTTAAAAAAATGTATACATACACTAGAATTAACAAAATAAGTTATTTTCATCATACTTTTTTTTTAGTTTTTGTGCATTATCGAAAGATTTATTTCAATATTTTGAAAAAAAGTTTAAAATTAACCTCCCTAATGTTGTTATTCATAAAATCCCCTTTTTAACAATTTTTAGATAAGTGTTGTCAATTAAATTAGATTAATATGGAAGTATATTATAACTCTTTAAAAGATTTTCGAATTATAAAACGAATTTTGAATGTTCTTATATAACGGCCAGGGCCGAACCAATCCTCATGAAATTTTAAAGTTCACTCTTTATGTTGGCATTTTTAAATGCCTATCAATAAATGAAATTTCATTGTTTGATTTAAATACTTATAAAACGATCTTCATAAAATGAAGTAGGGATTAAAATGTCCCGTATGAACTTAGTAGGCCAAAGGTTACAAAATTTCGGCTTTCTTAGCGCTAGCGTAGGATCGGAAAGGATCAGATTTCCTATAGGCGCTATCGGGCCTATAGGAAATTGCTTTTATGAATCGAAATCCATACAGTGTTTCTCGGAAATGTAATATATGGTATAACATCGCTACCCAGATAGTTGGATCTAATTTCGATGGAGGCCTGACAGTGAAAGATAAATTGTTACACCGCTCTCTTCGCATGCTCTACATTCTTCTAAATTCGTTGGTCTAATTTTGTATAGATGTCTCTGTATATCTGTGTATCCACTAAGAATACGTACTATATTTAGGTTTCCAATGATAGCGATTGCTTTATAAATAACATATTTATAAGTGTTAATTTTTGGACAAGGTAAGATTTTAACCCCGAATAAATAAATCCCTTTTGTTTAACGTTAACGAACGGATATAATCGACTGATTATTTCTAGGTTTTACCAACTCTAAGGGCCAATCTTTAAGTGAATTGTTTAGTTTGATTACAAACAATGACGTTTTTTGGTACTCAAAAACATCAATGGGGATTAACATCAGATTAAATTTATTTTATTTTTAGATTAACTAATCTGATTAATAATTGGCATTTGATTGCCAACTCAAAAACCCACTCTAATTATTTTATTTTAACGAACAAAGGTTTTTATTTTTAAGCTATTGGCACCATTGGTCTGATAAAAATATAGTCATATAAGCAAAAATTTTATTGAAGTATAAATGTGTAGTTACTGGCTTGAGTCGAACAAAGAACAATAGCATCGATATGCCGATACTTGATATAGTGTGTCCAATATGTACAGATGTTTTCAAAAACTCCGATGATGTCTATAGCACTAGTTGTGGCCACATTTTCCACTTATCTTGTATGGAGGAATGGAAGAGAAGGTAAACAAAACTTATTATTATGTTAATATAAAATTAATAATTTTTTTTTTCTTTTTCATTTTGTAGAGAATCAAGTTGTCCCCAGTGTCGTCATAATAATCCAACAACCCATAAACTGTTTTTAAGTTTTGATAATTCGGATGAAAATTCGAATACTCTAAAAGAACTTGAGTTAAAATTGAAAAGTTCAAATGAATACAATGCCAAACTTCTTGATCAAATGAATGAGACCGAGTTCAATTTCATGCATATTCAGGAACAATTTACAGCTATTGAAGATGAGAACAGAAAGCTTAAAGAAGAAATCAGACAATTAGGCGATATTAAAGAAAACTTTTTACGTCTTCAAGGGCAATATACGAAATCTTTGGAGTTTGTCAAAGAACTACAAAGACAGATACAACACTTATTAATTGCAAATGAAGCTAAATCCGAAGAGTTAAAATTAAAATGTTTGGAAAATGAAACAATAAAAGCCAGCTTAGAGACAGCACAGCATGTCATAGCCGATGATTTTCAAATTGATAAGATACAGATTTTGGAACGGAAATTGAAACATCTTACTGTCAAATTAGAAAAGGAAATAACAACTAGTACTCAACTCTCTATTGATAAAGTCAAATTACAAAGTTATATAGAGAACTTGACATCTGCAGAAAATACTAAACATTATGTTCCACAACAAACTAATAAGAGAGCAAATTTCGTCGTCAATAATGATAAAAATGATGATAAAATAAATCAAGTTAAAACAGGTCTATCACCGCCAACTATTGTTGCTGATAATAATTCTGACGCTAACAGTGTTTTGGTAAAAGGTTTTACCGAGCTACAAATAAAAGCCATTCCAAAAATAAATATTATTAACTTGGGACGTCATATGAAATTAAAAATATCAGAAAAGGATATTGTTAAAGTGTGCACCAAGGAAAATAAGTATAATGAACGACATAATCTTAAGTCCGGAAAAGTCAATTTAATTGTAGAGTTTCGTAGCTCAGAACTAAAAGTTGAATTTCTTAAAAATAAGGACAAATTAAAGCAGTATTCGATTTTGAAAGATATAGAAATCATCGATTATGTGAGCGATGAGATATTTAATTTGTATCAATATGCGAAAATTTTAAAATCGCATGGCTACGACGCAATCTATTGGAGAAATAATAGTGTTTATGTCAAAAAAACTCGATCGAATCTTTCTGAGCCAATATTAATAAAGTCTAAAAACCATGTGGATACGTTAAAAGAACAAATATAATATAAAACAACGTTTTTTATGTATTGCTTTTACATTTTGAGCATTTTTCTATATAAAAATATATAAAATTACACTGAAATGTAGATTTAAATACTATTATTTATTAATGTTCAACTCTTTTTAATAACAAAATTATTTTTTTTTTTTTGTAATTTAAATCTAGCTGTTTATTAAAACAAAAGTATGAAAAAAATATTTCTTTTCAAAAAACATTATATGTTTTATATAAGGTTGGCAAGCTATCGTTACAACTAAAATACCGAAAAATGTCAAAATACCGATAACCCTAAGACACCGATACCGTTATCGTTATTCTATTAAAAATTCCAAAAATGAAATAAATGCTTAAAACGGTAGAGTACTAAAATATCTTTTTAGAACACTACTGTTACCGCTAAAATACCGTTACCGAAATAAGCCAAAATACTGTTTTGGAACTACTCTTTTTGAAATACTATTTCTAATAACGTAAGAATCTAATAAAGCTCCGCTTTATTGCAACTTTATTGGAAGTTTCTAAAGGTGATGAAATATTGTTTGCCACCAATTGTATGCTTGTTCGACCTCTATGAAGAAAACAAACTTTTTTCAACTTTAACAATCTTTCTTAGAGTTGCAAAAAAAAGTACTTTTTCCGTATGCAAGTGGATAACTACAAAAAAATGTAAACAAAAAGAAAACAAACCATAACGAACGCATTGCTTTATTTATAAAATTTTGAACAATTGGCATAAAATTTAAAATCTTATTTGAGCACCAAAACTGAAATATGTAATCGATAATTAATCGAAAAACGAATCGATCTATGTATTAAATATTCTTCGCGGTACTTGTTATGAGATGCTGTGATGTGACAAACTTTAAAGAAATTACAAATTTAACAAAAAAAGTGTTTATACCTACTTAAAAAAAAATAAAAATATTCTTTGAGCAAAGATAGACTAATTGATTCCCATATTGATTTCATTTATGGGTACTTCCATGGTAAAAATATCAAGGTAGTGTCATTCTCTCTTTTTGTCGCCATATTAACCTTCTGACGTTTGCTGGTATTTTATAAAATCGAGCTACCATACTCATTGCAAAAATACTACATATTTTGTTTATTGAAAAGTCAAATATAAAATAATATCTCAAAAAAATTTTTGAAAATATAAAAAATAAAATCAAAGGAATTAAATAATATTAAAAAAAGAAAAAAACTAGCGCTAAAAATCTACGATGATTTACATTGCCAAGGCCACCAAAATGATTTATAGCTACAAGAGACTAGTGCTTAATGTAATTACCAGTTTTAAGGACCAGCTACCAACATGCCAACACATTTATCGACCGAAGCCGCTAAGCCGCATCACTTAAATATATAATTTAGCCCGTAATCACAGTACACTGGCCTGCGGACAACTGTTTCCAGTTGTATCAGAATTCTGAAGAATTTAAGTTTTAAGTCTAGTGAAATCTGTTGAATTCAGGAGCCCCTTATAACTAATATGTACATAATTATCTGTGTATGTAGTATGTAATACTCTGCAAAAAATATTGGAATACATTTGGAGTACATGATCCGTTTAGTAGTTTTTTTATAACAACATGGTCCACAGACATACGGACATGTCTGTCTTAGAATCTTGTAAGGACCCATTGTATACATAGGGCAATTTCGTGTCAAGTGACCCAACTCCAAAAATCGATTTGGATGAAATTTGCACCAAGGTAAGTACTATCGGATAGTAGGCCAGACACAAATTTTCAGCTCTATCGGTCAAGAACTGTCCATTATGGGACTATAAGCCCTTAAAGAAAATTGTATAAGCTTTCATCTGCGCGCCAATAGTTGGTAAGTTACACTCATATGAATAAAACTCTGTATGACCAAAATGTCCAATTTTGACCCCATCTAAGACCGGCAGTTCTTGACCGATAGAGCTGAGAATGTGTATCTGGCCTACTATTCAATAGTACTAACATTGGTGCAAATTTCATCCAAATCGGAGGACATCGATTTTAAAAGTTGGGTTACTTGACACGAAATTGCCAATTTATACTTTTGTGGGTTTTAGATGAATCATTCCATGTGTTACAAACGGAATGAAAAAATCTATACACTAATTTAATATCTATAAATTACACATAAAAAATACAAAAGCCTTAAAATTGTTTCCCCTTTAACGTATGTGGCAACGACTTTTTTATGTTTACAAAAAACAAATTTCAGAAAATACTAGCAAACTTCAAACATTTTTTTGTGAGAGCGGAATGACACTACCTTCATATTTTTATCATGGGTACTTTTAGCAAATTTAATAAAAATGTTTTTATACTAAAAAATTTTAAAATATTCTTTGAGCAGCAAAACTGAAATATGGGATCGATAGGGAATCGATAGACAAATCGATCCCCATTTTGATTTCATTTCTGGGTACTTGCTATGGGATGCTGTACGTAACAAACATTGAAAAGTTCACAATTTATGGAAAAAGTTTTTGTACATAAAAATCCTATCTATATATATTAGGCTTCACGCAATATTTTTGAAATTGTGATATCATATCTTTTATGACAGTTTTTGGAACAGCGCTAATATTGGCGTAATTATTTTGTTAAAATTTCAACTCCTTCATCTGCATATCTGCGGCCAAAATACCGATTTTGGGCGACATATTTTTATAGACCGAAAACTGCTGTACATATTTCAAATCTGACTTTAGTATACTATTCTACAAGAAAATTTAAGATATATAAACTTAATTTGACAGTATTTAGATGCACTATAAATGCATAAAAGCAAAAGAAAAAATGCAATTAAAAAAATCAAAACCTGATTTTATCATTCGTAAATATAATATTCAATGCCCTTAAAAAATAGTGTTAAAATTTTTTATTTATTGTAATCCCTTTAGGAGTTATGATGGTTATAATGTTGGCTTGTAGTTTAATAATTTCCCATCAAACAATGGTGTTTTTCATCATCATCTCCGAATTTAATAAAACTCCATCCAATTAATGTTCCATATATATCTTGTATAATGACAAATTTTGGGCCTTATAACTTTCGTGGTTTTCGAAATATAGCGTTGTAAAGTTTAAAATCTGAAAATTTAAAGTCTCATCACATCTAAAGGGTTAATGATAAAATTTGCACCATTTGTCTCAGCAAAAAGCATACTTTGATTATGTACAAAGAAAAGAATTTTTTGAAATATTTTTTGAAAAAAGTGCATCATTGGATAATACTAAATGCACTTTTGAAGCATTATAAAAGTGTGAAATTAAGCTCATTCTTATTGATTTTTCCTATAAAATCAATTATTAGAGCATGATTTCCTATAAATTCTACAATTTCTGCTCTGTAAAAAATGTCGCTCAAAATCAATGGTTTCTGCCTCAGATATGCAGAGGAAGGAGTTGGAATTTTGAAAAAATTATTACAGCATAGTAATCACTGATACAAAAACCTTCTTAAAAGTTGTGATATCACAAACACGGGAAACATTTTATTTTTTGAAACGAAGCCTAATATATATAACAAGTAAGAGTGCTATATTCGGCTGTGCCGAATCTTATATACCCTTCACCACAGTGTATTTAAAAAATATCAATTCTATAAAATTTTAATTTATTTCATTTTCCCGTTTATATCATTATTATGGCAATAGCAAAACGAACAACAACAACGCTAAACGAAATAAACACACAAAAAAACAAAATACACAAGGCAGTAAAACCAACAGACATCCAAACATACGAAACAAAAACAATATACAGAAGGCAATGAAACACACGCAACGAAAAACTCAAAAAAAAGCAAAAACAAAATACTCAACGCAATGAAACCAACAGACATTCAGAGGTTGTCTCAGATTTTTGCTCATATCTCAGGTATTTATGGACCGATTTTGCTGATTTTAAATAGCGATCTTCTCGAAAGCATCTCGCCGATATCTGGGGTCCTCTAAAAACTGATTTCAACAAACACACAGACGGACAGACAGACAGACAGACAGACGGACGGACAGACAGACATAGCTTAATCAACTCCGCTACCTATAAGGATCCAGAATATATATATCCTTCTCACGAAGGTGATGGGTATAAAAATGAATGTGTGTTTATTTGTGATTTTGTTTGTTTATTTGTTTGAAGTCTATAGACGGCTAAACTGCTACCGATTTACTTGAAATTTTCACAGTGTCTTTGTGTATGCCTGGAAGGAACTATAGGCAACTTTTTATTTTGATATTTCAAGTAGGCAAATTGCCACGCCCACAAACAAAGTAAGTATTAAAAGTGGTCTATTTCAGAAACTACTACAGCTAGAGTCCTCATGGACAAGTCCTGTATAGACAATTTTGACATAGATATGAACAATTGTTGGCAAAATGGGCGGACTAGGTATAGTGGGCGTGGCACTTCCTATATACAGAAAATATTGAATTAGTATTTCTGAGATAATATGTATATATAAAAGTTAGAGTCCTCAAATTTTATGAGAGCCACTTTAGTAATAATATGAATATTTTAGACAAAAATGGGCGGACTAGCAATAAGGGGCGAGATACCCCCATGTGATTTATCTGAGAAACTATTAGAGCTAGAATCCTCAAATTTTGCAAGAACAACTTTTACATCCATGTGAACATTAGTGTAATAAATTGGCGGACTAGCAATAGAGGGAGTGTTTGTTACGCTGTCACGGCCAAACTACTGAACCGATTTTTGTAAAACAACTTTTTGTAAAACAATTATTATACCAAATTTACGTTCAAGCGTACAAAAAAGTACTAATCCGATTTTCATGAAATATGTTCTAATGAATGTTGTTGAATGAACAGTACGACACATTACATTTTCAAAACGTATAATATATAATAATAAATATATATGACTCTTTTCTTACTCTTTCACTACATAATTACTAAACTGATTTACATAAAATTCGGCATATTAATAGGTCTAACCTCTGAAGTACATGATATTTATTGGATGCTACGCACATTTTTATGTTATTGCAGCACACATTTTCCATTTACCATTAACAAATTCCGAAATTTTTTAATTAGAGGAAGTTGTGGATATTTTAATAAGTTGAATTATTTGAGTAACTTTTTTGTATATCTAACGATATTTTGTATATCTAATGAAAAAAATAATATTTTTAAATATACTTTTTATAAATCGAGGAGACAATCGATACCCATATTGATTTTTATCCTCGGTACTTGCTATAAGATTCTGTAACGTAACAAAATTTTAGAAATTCGCAAATTTACAAAAAGTACCCGGAAATGAAATTAATACGTTGATCGATATGTTTATAGATTGTCTATCGATCACTATCGACTGTTTTGGAGCTCAAAGAATATTTTTTAAGTATAAAACTATTTTCTTAAATTTATGAATTTTTCAAAGTTGGTTGTTGCATCACAGCAACTTATAAGGTACACAGAAATTAAATCAATACGGGGATCGATTTATTTTTCGATTAATTATTGATCATATTTTTTCGTTTTTGATGCTCAAAGAAGATTTTAAAATTTTAGGTACAAAAACTTTTTTCATAAAATGAGAACTTTTCAAAGTTTGTTACGTTACACAGTCTTATAGCAAGTACCCAGAAATGAAATCAATATGCGGTTTGATTTGTCTATCTATTCCCTATTGATCACAGTTTTGCTGCTCAAAGAATATTTAAACATTTTTTAGTATAAAAAATTTGTTGTTAAATTTGCGACTTTGTTAATGTTTGTTAAGTTACACTGGCTAATAGGAAGTACCCGTAAATGAAATCAATAGTCTATCGATTCCCTATTGGGCACTATTGACTGTTTTGTTGCTCAAAAAATATTTTTAATTTTTTTTGTTAAATTTGTTATTTGTTCAATTCGTCATTCGGTCACACAAGAAATTACTGCTCAAAAGAACCCAGATGTGTCAAATGCGCTGGTAAGCATGAATCGGTGGAGTGTACTATTGATAAAGCCCAACATCCAAAATGTTGCAATTGTGGCGAAGAACACCCTGCAAGTTATAGAGGGTGTATAGTCGCAAAAGAACTTCAAAAAATAAGGAAAAAGTCATCAAACAAAAATAATAATAATGTGCAACAAATTCGAAATTCTAAAATAACAAATATTGTAAACTCAAATAGTGAAGTAAGCGGAAAAACATATGCAGATGTTGTCAGCTCAAACAGCACAAAAGCAGAAAATGAAAATTTATTACAAATAATCGTATCCAAACTAAACAATCTTGAAGCTTTCAACAAGTCACTAGAACTTCGACTTAGAACTTTAGAATGCACAATCTCCAATAATGAAAACATCAATTAGAATCATGGAATGGAATGCAAATGGCTTGCAACAACATAAAAATGAACTTGAACTAATAATTGAAAAAGAATGCATAGATATATGTATGATAAGTGAGACGCATTTCACAAAGCAATCATTTATTAAATTTAAAAACTTTTATTGTTACCACACTATACATCCTAGCAATAATGCAAGAGGCGGCAGTGCAATACTAGTTAAATCTAGTATTGAACATTATGAAGAGGAAAAAAACTAGCCTTCAAGAATTTCAAGTTACTACGATAACATGTAAAATAAATAACTCATATATTTCGTTTTCGTCAATTTATAGTCCTCCGAGACATACCATAAAACACATTCAATATCAACAACTAATAGAAAAGCACAAGTATAAATTTATAATGGGAGGGGATTTTAACTCCAAGCACACTCATTGGGGTTCCAGATTAACCACCACCAAAGGCAGAGAGCTCTACAAAGCATTAAAAAATACCGGATGTAATTTCATGTCCACAGGCAGCCCAACATATTGGCCAACGGATCCAAACAAGATCCCGGATCTAATTGATTTCTTTCTTTTTCGGAAAATATCAAAATTAAATCTTAAAATAGATGAAGGCTTTGATCTAAACTCTGATCATTCACCAATCTACTTAACATTCTCTTGCGATATACAACCAAAAGTACCGTATCCAGTTTTGTATAATAAATACACAGATTGGAACTTATATAAATTAAATATTAAACATAATTTAAAAAATCATCCTCAAATCCACACAACAGAAGATTTGGAAAATGAAGCTAAAAATTTTGTAACAACCCTACAACAAGCCGCATGGAAAAGCACGCCTGAACTTCAACCTAAGATTTATAGTAATGTATCCTATCCCCAAAGTATCAGAACTTTGATAACTTCTAAAAGAAAATTACGCCGAAAATGGCAAAGTACTCGAGCTCCCTGCGATAAAACTTTATTAAATAACGCTACACAAACTCTAAAGAGAGCGATACAAAAATTCAAAAATGATAACATGAATCATTATCTATCACATTTGTCATATAATAATAAGACAGACTACTCCTTATGGAAAGCTACCAAAAGTCTTAAGAGGCCAATAAATCAATCATCCACAATTAGAAAAAGCGATGGAAGCTGGGCCAAATCCAACAAAGAAAAAGTGGAAGTTTTTGGGACATACTTAGAAAATGTATTCAAAACGCAAATACCTATCTACGATAGTATTGAAACAGTGATTAACAATGACGATGAAGAAATACCTCTACTAACAAATTCCGAAGTGAAAAAAGAAATCCGGTTACTAAAATGCAAAAAAAAGCCCTGGATATGATCTAATAGCAGCTGAGCTTTTAAAACATTTGCCTCATAAAGCACTTGCAATATTAACCAAAATCTTCAATGCTATAATAAATCTAAAATATATGCCAAGTCTTTGGAAAGTGGCTGAGATAATAATGATTCCAAAACCAGGGGGCTAATTCTCGCATTCGTATACGTTCGAAAACATACTCGAATGCACGAATTTTTTTACTTTTGGGATTCTCTTATTCGATAACGAATAAAACATATCGAAATTTTTAATGATGGCATTCGATAACGAGCAATCATTCGAATGAAACCTTGCGAGTTTTTTCTCGAAAGCTAGTTTGCTTTCGAAATAACGTTATTGTGCAAAGGGTAAATTGGAAAGAACATGTAAGTTAACAATTTTTATTACAACTGACAAAAAAATTATAAATTTAATACATTTAGGTCAAAAATATCAAAAATAAATTATACTCAAAAAGAAATTCTTGGCAATTTCATGGCAAATCATACGGATTTGGCCAAGAACTTATTGCCAAATACTTCCCAAGGGAAAGCCCGGTCAAATCAACTTTGGGAACAACTCACTGCTAAGCTAAATGCTTCCGGCCCACCAGTAAAAGATGCTAAAGCTTGGCGCAAGGTAATGTATAAATAAAAACATTTACCCTCTTCATTAATTTATTTCTAAAATTTGTATCTATTTTAGGTCTACGCTGATCAAAAACAAAACGTTAAAAAAAAGATTTGTTTTAATAAATCTTCTAAAAAAAGGACCGTTGGCGGCCCATTTGAAGAAAAAATTCTTTCTCAAGTAGAGGAACAGATAGTCGCAGCTGCAGGCTTAGAAGCCTCTGTTGAAGGCTTAACAAAGGTTAAAAGTTTTGGATCCCAAAGTAAAATCGTGAAAGATATTGTAAGTGCAACATCACAAGAGAACAGTCGTAATATTTCATGCACGTCATTATTCTCAGATGACGAAGAGATGCAAGAAAATATTTCGTCTTTAATAGAAACTGAAGACGTTAGTGAAAAAGAAAAAGCAGTGGCTAAAGATGCTCTACCAAAAATATGTAAAAAAGAAAGGGAAACTAAAACCATTTTGTTAAAACAAAATATGATTACAACAGAATTATATCAGAAGGAGATGTTGAAAAGATTAGACAAAATTATAGAAATAGCAAATAAAAACCACGAGTTAAAAATAAAAGAGGTCGACATAAGTTCTCAACTGCTCGATTTAAAAATGAAGATCTTTAAAATGAAGGAAAGAGAGCATAATTTAAACACACAATTAAAAGAAATGGAACTACAAATACGTATGAAGGAGTTGGAAAAACTTAATATTGATATATTAATGGATTAAAATATTTAATTCTTATATTTTGTTCTATTGATCTCATTAATTTGATTTTTTTGTTTTTTTTTCAAAACATTTATATATTTTTCTGTTGGATTAAATTTAATAACAAAAATAGAAAAAAATCGTTTAATTCTAGGAACATAAGCATAATTTAATGTTATCTCTAATCTTTTTCCCTACTTTGGTTATTTGTGTTTCTGTTCCCGTATCTATTTCAGGCATTTCCGTGTCCAATGGCGTTTGTTGTACGTCTTCGTAATTGGGCACTTTAAAATGTATGCAAATATTGTGTAGAGCTGCACATACATTAGAGAACTGTGCAATTTTCTCGGCACTATAACGACTTCGCTTGTCGTGACATAAAATTTTCCACCGGGCCTTCAAAATTCCAATTGTCCTTTCGACAATACACCTTGCTTTGGAATGAATATCGTTAAACTTCGATTCCATTGAATTTTCTTGGGGATTTCGGTAGGGTGTTAACAACCAAGGTTCACATGGATATCCCGAATCACCTACATATAAATATAAATAATATTTATGTGACATACATATTTACATACACAAAATTTATTATACCGTACACCACTATTGTGGTTTGTGGTATGCGTTTGTGGGGTATCATATGGTGCCATGACCGACTATACATTCATACTTGTTTTTTTAAATTACTTACCTAAGAGCCAAAAATTTCTTAAATTATTATTATATTCTTGTTCGAGATGGATTCTTTCTACTGATTCCTTCCAAACAAACGAATCATGAGCAGCTCCACCATATTTAGAATTTATGGCCAAAATATTATATTTATGGTCGCATATCTAGAAATATTTAGGTTACAAACATACACAGTAGCGTTATTAATGTCTACTTACTATCATTGAATTTAGACTATGAAAGCCTTTCCTGTTAAAAAACATATGCTCGTTGGGAGGCTTCTGCAATCCAAAATGGGTCCCATCAACGCAGCCAATAACTGCCAAATAAATAAAGTTAATTGCTAAACGTCCATGTTATATTTACATACCACCTGGAATATTATATTTTGACATGAAGTACTCTTTGCATTCGTCACTATTTCTGCAATTGAACTGTATAAATTTTGGACAAAGTTTTCGCTCCATTTCATCCACCACACGCTTTGTAATTTTACAGATGGAACTTTGACTAATTCCTATTAAAAAGTCATTCCCAACTGAATGTTGGAAACCTCCAGAAGCTAATAGTGATAAGGTAGCAGCCAATTGTATTTTTGGTGGAACTGTGGTAGAAATTTGCCCTTCAAATACTAATTCGTCAAGAAGAAAATTGAATGCTTCCTTCGATAGTCTAAACCGTTTTTTAAATCTAGTAAAAGGAATTAGTAGTTTATGTTTTTTTTTAATATAAGATCACTTACTCATTATTTTGCAAACTTAAGGGGTCACTAGTGTTCCGTATTTTTTTCCTAATGGCATTGATATTTTCATATTCATCAGAATCCGAACTTGATGAATACAGGAAAAAAATTGATTCCATATTTGTATTTATCTTTATTTTGGTTTAGTTTTATTTTAAATTTTCGTTTTATTTTGAACAAATATATGACTTTTGCTTACATTTCGTTAAGTGTTGTAAAACATACTACGAAAGTTTTTTACCACACTGAAACAACAATTCGATTCGTTTTTTATCGAGTAACATCATTAGAAAATTACGCACTATCGAAATTTATTTCGATTCGAATTTTATTTCGATCACGACTACGAGAATCACCCCCCAGGAAAACCACTCACAGATGCCAGCTCATATAGGCCAATATCACTATTACCGGTGATAGGAAAACTGTTTGAAAAACTATTCTGTAAAAGGCTGAAAAGTATAATTACAAATAGAAATATTATACCAAATCATCAATTTGGATTTCGTGAAAAACACTCTACAATCGAACAAATACATAGGATAACACATACAATTGAAAATGCCCTAGAAAACAAAGAAATATGTTCATCCGTATTCTTGGATATTTCAAAAGCTTTCGATGGTGTATGGCATAAAGGCTTGCTACATAAACTAAACATGAAAAAGAAAGATATTTCCGTGTTAAAATCAATGATGAATTCTCAAATCTTCATCCGATAAGCTCTGGTGTCCCGCAGGGAAGTATCCTGGGACCAATATTATACTTACTGTATACCTACGATTTACCAGTAGATTCAGATTGTATTGTCGGCACATTTGCAGATGACACTGTAATCATGTCAACTGGAAAAGATGTTGAAGTCGCAACACATAAACTACAACTAGCACTAAATCGAATAGATAGGTGGACTAAAAAATGGTGTATCAAACTAAATAGCTCAAAATCGATTCATGCAAATTTTACAAATAAAAACGTCAACCACAAACCAGTCTTTATCGATGAAATTGAGATTCCACACGAGAACACCGCTAAATACTTGGGAATGACCCTAGACGCAAAGCTTCGTTGGAAAGCGCATGTTAAGAAGAAAAAGGATGAGCTAGAGTTAAAGTTTAGAAAAATGGATTGGCTAATTGGGAGAAAATCTAACCTTTCAGTCCATAATAAGCTAATTGTCTATAAACAAATTCTAAAGCCAGTATGGAGCTATGGCATCCAGATATGGGGATGCACTAAAAACGATGTTATTAAAATTATACAAAGATTTCAAAACAAAATCCTAAGGACCATCCTGAATGCCCCATGGTACGTTAGAAACTCTGATATCCATAGAGATCTCAACATGAACACAGTAACAGAGGAAATTATTATGAAAGCAGAACAACATAGGCGTAAACTTATACTCCACCCAAATGAAGAAATAGCGTCCTTATTAAGAACCACAAATGTAGTAAGACGACTAAACAGATGCCAACCTCATGACCTCATCAGGCGTTTCAACCAGCATAATGTTTTATAAAATATTTGAATTGCTGTTAATACTAAATTATATGTTTAAATAATTAGCCTCAAACTGCTAGTTAGTCTATTTTGACTAGTCGCAGTATTTTAAGAAAAATTGTATATATCAATTTATACCGTTTTAAATAAAAAAAAAAAAAAAAATTGTTCAAAGTTTGTTACGTTGCTACTACCCAGAAATAAAATCAATATGGGGATCGATTCGCTTATCGATTCCCTATCGATCACATATTTTGGTTTTGCTGCTCAAAGAATATTTTAAAATTTTTATGTACAAAAACTTTTTCCATAAATTGTGAACTTTTCAATGTTTGTTACTTTACAGCATCCCATAGCAAGTACCCAGAAAGGAAATCAATATGTGGATCGATTCATCTATAAATTCCCTATCGATCACATATTTCAGTTTTGCTGCTCAAAGAATGTTTTAAAAATTTGTAGTATAACAACTTTTTTTTTTTTTGCAAAATTTGTCAAAGTTTGTTACGTTACAGCATCCCATGATATATAACTGCTATCGGACGATCTTGTGGACGATAAAAACCTATATAGAACTTTAAGTTGGAAACATAAGAATCGGATGGCATAAGTCTTAGTGGATATCATCGTTCTAGGGGGTGTACTACAACAAACTTTTTTTACAAAAAATTTTACTATTGCAGTATATAGAAAATGAACGATAAAAACTTCTATAGAACTTTAAGTTGGAAATGTAAAATTCGAATGACATAATTTTTTACAATTCTAGGTAGGGTCAACTGTGGACCGATTCTTACAAAATTTAACAGAAGGATTTTGTATCATATAAATCTTGTAAAATCATTTTTTGAGGGAAAGCTTATATGGGTGCAGTGTCAATTATTAAGCGATACTCATAAAATTTGGCAGAGATTTTAGATTCTATCAAACTTGTTTTATAGGATCTTTAGGATATTAAAAATAGGATATTAAAAATATTTTGCCAAATATTGGCTAGATCTTCTTAGACTGTAATTAGAACCCAGCATATAATTTAATGTAAATGTTACAAACGCTGGAAAATGTTCCTTGTCTCTGATGAGTGTAGTGTCTTCCAAGCGGTGATCTTAGCGATCTAGAATGCGACGGAACTAATACGGAATCACTAATTAGATTGCAGATGAATTGGCCAGACAGGGCTCGGATCTGCAGCTTAATAGTAGGGTCGGTTCGGTAAAACCCACCATTTGTTATTACTATAGGCCAGCGATCGGCAGACATATACTACCACATTTTGCACTTGTATAAGTGTAAGAGCGAAAAAAAAGAAATGAGAAATAGTTGTACTCCCATCTTCACAACAAGGGATGCTTGGAAAACTGAAATTTACAAATAATATTAATCTAAAACAAAACTAATATTTTTTTAGTTTAAGAGTAGCACATATTGTTTTTGGGCTTATTTGCACATATTTATTTTAAATATTGATATAGAAATATGCGCTTTTTAACTAAGTTTTTAATAAAATATATACCTATTAAGGGCAAAGATTTAATATAATTACATGTATATATTGGTAAATTATTGTAATTTGCTACTTTAGTTGTAAGGAAAAACATTTAAAAAAGTTTATAATTCTAAAAACTGCATAACATGTAGTGTAGATGCTAAAAATGTACAAAAATAATTAGAATTATCCATCCCTGCATTAATATATGTATTTTCGTTCATTTTCATTGCAAAAGCAAGAAACGAGCGACAACAGAACCTCTTTCAATGACAGCTCATATGAGACTGATTTGTTTTCTATGCGTGTGAGTAGTCTGTGTAAATTTAGTAACGGTCAAAATACACAGTGTATAGGAGTTGCCGATCGTGGCTATAGGCTAATCTCCGAAAATTTCAAAAACTCCACCTACCGATCCTGGCACAGTAGGCTGGAATGTAGGGTTTCTAGGACATTATGGCCGAAGTTAAATTCAAAAACAACCAGAGTACTATAAGGACTGGTTAGGGAGAGTATAAGAATATTAGTAGGGGTAATAACCGTACACTGCGCAATTGAAGCCTTTAGGGATAATAGGGTAGGTAACACACAGGATTTTTGCATGTTGTGTTAGGACGAAGAGGAACATGAGACAGTAGGCTATATTCTATGCCACTGTCCCAGAATACAGAGTCTGAGGCTGAAATGGCTAGGCAAAAGATTCCACGATGAACTAGGAGATGTAACAGGGTGTAACTTAGGCGACATTCTGGGCTTCATCAGGGGAATATTTTGGTTATTCAGATAAAGGACAATTAGGGATTTTCCTTCCATGCCTACTTTCTTTGTTCTTTTTGGGGGAGATTATCACTCTTCTCATCTTTCTCTTTTCTTCTGTCTTCTTTTTATATTTTTCCTTGTTTTTTATTGAAGGGAATCACAATGGACCATTGGGTCTCCTAGTGGATGTTTTCCTTTGATATACAACCCTTTTAAACTAAACTAATACGGAATCACATTGTTCGCCGGTCTCTGGTAAAACTTTGGTTGATATTCGTACTGCATCGTATGTGAAAGGTTTTTATTCGCAAGACTTGAAAGAATACGTCCATAAAATTTTGTGGTCGTGAGTTGTTCCATGTTGGAGAAATAAACACTCAAAGTTAAAATTTCCCAAAAAAGTGATTGAAACCAAGTAGTTTTTTTACAACTTTTTGATATTATGAGGGCGGCTTACAACTTAGAAAGTCAATTTTGCTAATGTAAGCTGTATACCAAAGAATATAAAGAAATTGGGGCTTGTCAGTTGGTACGTAAAGGAGTTGTCATTCGGTACCTAACTCTAAGTATGTATTGGTAGAATTTTTGTATTAGTATTAGAGCTCCAACCACTTTCACCACACTTTCCAAACATACATACTTGCATAAAATCGTACATAAAAATTTTAGGAAAAATAAATAACATTTAAATTTCTACATTCGCAGAGTTTTTAATTTATTTTGCCTACATCTAATCAGTAAACATTTAATAAATATATTTTTCGGACTTAAAATCTCTTTTCTTTTCTTTATATTCTTTGGGCTATAGTCCATATATAAAAACAAACGTGAACGTTTCGAAAAAAGGGCTTTTTCGCGAAGCACACTAACAGCGTAACTTCAATAAACCCAAAATATCGCGTGATCGAAATACTTTTAAATTTTACATGTTGAAATCATAAAGCTGCTAATTTAAATTGGGGACATTATACATCAACCGGTAGCTGACAATGATGGTAATACGAAAATCGATAAGCCGTTCGAAAAAAAACTGCGTTTTAGCATTTGAAAAGTGTAAAAAAGTTCATTCATGTAAATATATAAATTCTTTACAAAATTTAAATTAACCGAACAGATTTTCATTTTAACGTTTTGTGTTAATAATTCATTTAAATTTAAAAATGATAAAAGCAGTTAATTGTAGATAAGCTGGGATATGTTAACTGCAAAAGAAATTTTATCAAAATTTCTCTTTCGCCGGAAACGCGATGTTTCTTGAGTTACAAGATAATTCGAAGAAGCACACCTAAACCGCTAATTAAAATTGGTAACACTTAACATTAATCGGTAGCTGACAATGATGCTTATAAGAAAATCGATAAACCGTTAGAA